CCATGGGAGTCTGATAAATATCTTTTTCTCCTCCCTGAAAATACATGCCTATTTAATTGCTTAAAACAATTCTAGTTTTATTAATAGGCTGATTTCTATAAATATAGTTTAAGAAGAACAAATCAGATTTTGTATCACAAAGCAGGACAACTTTGGTTCAGTTTCAAACTTAGGTGTACTCACAGACATAAATTGAAATGATAACTTGTAGAATTTGTATCAATGATCTTATCCTTTTAACATTTTCTGGGAGAGTCTGTTCTATTAGTTTCCTGCTGTAGTTACAGTCTGTGTTGCCTGAGGAAAGTTTTGTAAATCAGATCTCTGTCTATCATAGATTTCTCATACAAAGGTCAGTGGTTCTTGTTTGACTGTTGGGTCCAAAGGTCCATTCTCTATTATACAATTAGTATAAAACACAGTATTTTCAGTCAGTAGATGTTATTCAAAGCCTTATAATGATGAGAATTTAAAATCTTCGTGTATTGAAGGTAGTTTGAAATAGCGGTTACTATACTTTGGATCCAGCCTGCCTCCTGACTTTGCTGTTTATAAGCTGTATGATCATGGGCAGTTGGTTGAACTTTGTCTTAGTGTCTATCTGTTAAGTAGAAATAATGATAATAGTACTTCATGAGGTTGTTGTGAGGATTAGATATGAGTAGTTCAAGTACTCATAACAGTTCTTGGCACACGGTAAGAATTGTATAAACATTTGCTGCTGTTATTTTCAGTGGCACTATCTATGCTTAGACCTGGTGACCTGGGAACCAGAAGTTTCAAATGCCTTTGTTCTATGACTGAGTACACTATTGCTGACCTTTACTGTCAGGTTTCTCTGTCTGGTTTCACGGGCATTAGTTCTTGTCCCTTCTCATGAGTAGCGTATATACTTAGATTGTAATTGAAGTCCATAGTAAATCAGTGTTCCCAATGTTTCTATTTTACATTAGTCAGCTCTTTGGAACTATATTAATTTAATATATTGGGTATGCTTTATGAAAATACATGTGCATTTTAAATATTCATATGCTACATAAAGATAAGAATATGTTTTTCCATAAACCTTTATTTGGTAAATTCATTTTTCTCTGAAAATTATAGCAGTGTATTATTCAGTTTCAGGATATAATGCCAGAGATATGTTTGAACTGAAACATAGAAATTCTTTCCTTTACACTTTTCTCTGCTTTCGTGAGGAACAACTGTGGTATTAAAGAAGCAACTGACGATATTAGAAAAGCAACGTGGAGTCCTGGCCCTGTCGCTAATCAGACATATGAAACTTGGGTAATTCTAGCCCAAAGAAAGACTATATGATATTTCATTTTCTTTAAGCTTGAAGATTCAATATATCATAAATAACTTTAATAAGATTCTTCTTACTTGGCTTATTGAATTGTTCTCATTTCTTTGTAGTACTTTATATTGCAAACCAAACTTCTAAAATATGTAGTTTATTTTCCTTTAATTTGTATATTCTCAAAATGTTCTAGGTAAATAGTTTATTATGATAGCACTCTCTTCAGAGGTATGTAAAAATGTCATCCAGAATAACATTTAGAGTCTTTGCCATGTCGTAGAAGGCTCTCCGTTATTGATCATTGATTCTGCTTCTCTATCTGACTTCATCTGCCATTCTCCCACTTTCTCCAGTCTAATCTCACTGACCTCCCCATTGCTCTGTGAAGATGCCAAGCATATTCCCACCTGGGACTTCTGAATGCCTTGTTCAATTTACCTGGAATGCTCTTCTTCCCAAATCCACGAGTTTGCTCTCTCCCTTCAGTTAGGTTTTAGTACATATGTCACCACATTAGAGTTGTTCTGTAATCCTCCTATCTAAAATAGCCCACCACCCCCATCACTCCCTACTTTGGTTTCTTTATAGATCTCATCTCTGACAATGTTTATTTTACTTGTTTATTGTTTGCTTTTTCCACTAAACGTAAGCTCCATAGAAACGGGGACTTTGTTCTGTTTAGTGCTGTGTCCCTGTTGCATCATAGGGATTTCAGTTGCATATAGCAGGCACTCAAAATTTTTGCTGAATTAAGCAAATAAATTGTTATAATATTTTCAGTTGCATAATTACCTTATGGACTTTAGAGCACTTAGAGACTTTATGAAAGCACTTTAAAGCACTTAAACCTTTAGATATATCTTGAAAGTGGATCTGAATTATAGTCCAGTCGTAGTATTCCGTTGGCCACCAGGATAGAAGAAATCTCAATACGTAAGAATATAAAAAAGATAGAACTGATCTGATCTAAAAATAAAGAATGCTTGATCTATGAGAGAAAATACTTACAGATCATCTAGCATAGAGTTCTTATTTTAAAGATTAGAAAACTGAGACATGGTTATATTAGTAGATGTGCCAGAGGTCACATGGCTTGTTGGTGGCAGAGCCCTAATTTTGTGTCTGTAATATACATGTTATGATTTTATTCAATTTACATATGAATGTGTTAAATTTTCTAGTAAATTTGTTTTATTCTATTTACTTGCAACTTTGCTATCGTCTCTAAAAGACTACGCCATAATAGTATTTTCTCATTCTTTTTAAGTTATACAGCTCTTGCATGCTACTAGGTGAATATGGGGGCTCATCTTTGGGATGCTTCCGTCTTCTTTGGAAATCTCCATTTATGTGTCTCATGGTTAACAGAATAAATATTTACTAAAGCCGATGCCTTATAATTCTACTTAAACCTGACACTTTGCTATATTACCTTTAATAATGCATTCTGGTTGCTTAGTTCCAGAACTGTGGTTGGGGAGGAGTTGTCATATATTTTTTCCTCTCCTTGTCACCTATACCCCACATCCAGAAAGTTGCCAAGTCCTGTAGAGCTTGCTTCTCTCCTGGTAGATCTTGATTAGCAGGCATAACCTTCTGCCAGATGCTGGCTATTGCAGAAATTTTGTGACTCTGCATATAATTACAGAAACCATCCTCTAAGAAATCAGTCAAATTCATCAGATAATGTTGAATTTTGTTAGCGAATAACTAATAAAACTTCATTTAAGGGTGACCAGTAAGGAGGCAGGGAAAGTATTTACGTGGCATTTAGTAGAGTGCTTTGGACTCTGGGTATCCCCAGTGAAATAAATTGCCCAGTGATAAAAATGCCCAGTGAAATAAAGTGAGGTATTATATTTAATTCCTCACTTTAAGAACGTGTTTTTCCTCTTGCTACAGTTTTTATTTGCTCAGTAACAATAAAAGCTTTTTTGTTGTTTTTAAGGCTTTGAATGAACTGTTTAAAAAGTCATCTGTGTGCGGATTGAGAAATTGAATAATTAGCTGCTTTCAAAGCTGCATAAGCTCTTTTAGCCCATCAGGTTAAAAAGGGGGTGGAAAGAGTTAATACAATTTTAAAGAGGCCTAATTTACAACTAAGGAGTACCTGAGAGCTCTTGGAGAATTTGACACAATGAGTTAGATCAATCCCATTTTCATTTCCCTCTAGCTGCAGTTTGTAACATAAATCAATCCATGGTCTGTAATTGTTAAATGGAAGTATTTGAATGCCTCCTAGTGGCATATTGTAGGCTCTAATTAAGGAATTTAAAAAGTAATATTTATTGAAGGAATACTATGATAACCTATTAAAGCTTGTAAGTACAAGGTAGTAAAATCCTTTAATGATAACATCCCAAGTAAAATGAAAATACATTATTTGCCATATAAAACTGATTAAAAACGTGACTGGAAAAAATATAACACATATGGCAAAGATGAATATACTTTGAATAAAAATTTTTAGTTTTGGTTCAGATCAAATTATTTTAATTGACTTTTTATGTAATGGAACTACTTTGCGCTTAAACATAGACAAATGTGGCTATTAATAGGATTTGGATTGCTTTGTATACATTCATTTTTTAAAATTAATTGTGGATTATTATGTAGTTTCTTTAAATATCTTTGTATAATAATAGAGAAAATGGTTTATAGAAAGTCTGGTTCATTTTCAGATTTTTTAAAAATTCTGATCTTCAAGTTGAATAAAATAATTTAATTGGTAACCTTGAAATACAGACTATAGCAAAACTTTAAAATGATTAAGAATGCTGATTTAATTATTGCTTTATGCATAAAAATGACTTTACATTTATGGAAATATAATTTAAAATGGAAAGAAAGTCATATTGAAAGAATTCTGATGAGGGTCAGAAGATGGAAGAAAAAGTGATATCCTTTTGTTAAGCACTAAAAAATGTTTAATTAACTGCTTACCAAAACAAAACAATTAAAATGGCAATTACCTTTAAAATAGCAACAATGTAATTACAGCTGTTGTGATATAAAGCTAGGAAACAAAATGTTAATCTGGAATGAACAGTTTAAATATGAAATTATGATATACTTGGCTTCCTGTAGTACAGCTGTCAAGCTTGGGCAGTTCGCTGGTCAATAGTGACATTCTATGTGTCAGTGAACAGAGTCTCTTGATACCATAACCCGCAGTTCACACATTACTGAAGCTCCAACTGTCGAACATTCAAGTCCCCTGATATTTTTGCAGCTTCCAGACTCTCCTGACTGGCTCATGTTTCATTCTTTGGCAATTTGCCCTAATGATATCCCTCAGGAGCTTTCAGCCTCTCTTCCTTTCCATATTTAATCATGTTATATTAATCTGAGTGATACACAAACTATGCTGTATAAATTGTAATTTCCTGCAATTTTTCTAAGATGCACACCTAATTTTTCAGTTTTACTTATGTTCTAAGTTTTTAATCCCAAGCTCTGTATCTTCAGATGATTATAACTACATGATTCCCAAGAAGCTACTTTTGCTCTTTATATACGTTTCAGAGGGGCCTCTGAGACATAAGACTTTTTACATGTAGAATTGGTAAAGACAATGTGATTTATGTCATTATGTAAATTGTTCTGTGATTACTGTTCATTGTTGATACATTGAACATTGCTTTTTGTTTGGAAGGTCAGCAGCTACTTATTTTTGTTATCCTTTTACAAATTTTAGTTAACTGCCTGTATCCATGGATCAGCTGCTCTCCTATACCCAATGTATTGGCAACACATATACATCCCAGTGCTTCCTCCACACCTGCTGGACTACTGCTGGTAAGCTGGCTTTTGCCAGACTCCTTTAAATTTAGGTTTCATGATTAGATATCTGTTTATTTGTGAATTAGATAAACTTGGTGGTATATTTAAAAGAAATCACAGAAACTTACATTTTAATAAATAGTAAAGATGGCTTTTATGAAGGACAAAATAATTCTGTTCAAAGGTAGCACAAATTTATACTTAGCAAACATAAAGTTCTTTAGATTTTGTGAATTTCTTCTGCAGTCATTTAGATAATGCAAAATAGGAAAAAATAACAGTCTTAAGTTGTGTTTAGGAAAACTGTATAGAAGTTATGGTGTCAGTTAGAGAACTCAATATCCCAGGTGTCGGAATTTGTCTGGCAAATCTGCCAGAAACCACATTGTCTCTGTCAGGGCATACTCTCGTTACCTTTACTTCAGAACACACTACTCTACCCCTCTTTTTTTTGATATTAGCCCACTAAATACCAAGTACTGACAAAGGGGTTGTCTCTAATACAAGAATTCTTGTTTTTTGTTTAAGCCAAAGTCTCAGCCTTGAACCACCATGAAGAGCAATGTTGAAAAGTACTGGGAGTAATTCTGTAAAGTTTCCTGGCATTAGACACAATTCCTAAGGGATCCCACCCAATAACCAGGCCTCTAGAACCTCCTTGTTCTCTTCGCCTGGAAGAATCTGCATACTTATCAGGAGTCTAAATAAGGATTAGACTTCTAAATAGCAGTTTCTGGGCCTTCTTCAAAACTGGGGGGGGAATGTTATCTTTATTGCATAATCATCTTCTGCAGGTGTAGCCTAATTCTTAAGAAATGTGATGGGATGTTTTCTCTAAACCATTGTGCACACACATAGAAGGAAACAATTTTGACCTTCATGTGTTTTCTTATTTCACAGCTAATGTTACTAAAACACAGCACTTTTAGAATCAATGCATTCATTTAACTTTCTTATTTCATAAAAGGCAGAAAGTATTAAGGATTAAAAATGATTTAAGTTCATACATAGAGGGTTTCTATTAACTTTTTATGACTAACTCTCTTCAGAGCAAGTGATTGTAGTGACAACACATGTACTTGGCCACATATTGATTTATTAATATATTGTTGTGTTTCCACAGCATGGTAATATTATTAGAATTGATAATGCTGTGAAGTAGGTGCCCAGTGACCTACCATTACTCTTATGCTGTTTGAGAACTAGAAAGGAGAAACTGTTTGGCAGGAAACTATAGGAATGTAGTTTATATTGTTAAGCGTTATACACACAAGTCTAAGAATAAAGCTAAATCTATACATAAGCCCTTTGTTATTCATTTTAGAGTTTTTCTTTAACCAACATACCTGTAGTATTTTAGCATTCCTTAAAGGGAGGGTCTCTCATTTATTTATGTTGACATATGCAGTAGATCTTTGTATATACTGTTCAGTAATTAAACTTTACTTATTTAAAAATATATGTTACAGCAGTATTTGGAAATATATTGATATATGATTTTATATAATGTATCTTTAGAATTACATTTTATATATGATGTTTGTGCCATCTTAATTTTTATATTAAAATGTTCTAACCTCTTAAGAGATAACACACCTTTAATTAAGTTCAATTATCTGTGATGAATTACACATTTAAGATTTTCTAAAATGTTATTTAGAAATTATTCTATGACACAGGCAGTTCTGTACTAATTTTTTCCAGAGCTTTTCTGATAGTTTCTACCCATCATTAAATTCAGTGAAGGAAACTTGTTTCGTATTTCAGTCCCTGGAATTTTCTTTCTAGTTTCTAATGTCTGAAATAGCCTTTGGGTTGAGTTCTAACAGCTTCCATGCCAAAAACTCCCTGGTTCAAAGAGTGAATCAGTGATATTCAAACAAGAAGTTACCTGAAACTTCCTGAACCTTAAGGTCACAATGATAGGCTCAGCTTCTATCATAGGAACTGAGTAGTGTAATATAATATATTTTTTTAAAGAATAGCCATCAGAAAACTTGGTAAACTAAACTGTTTCCTAAGGTAAACGTTTTTCTTCCATTTCCATCCTTGAGGTTAAAATCATACTGATCTACATGTAAAAGGGAAAAAAATTACAGATCATCCCTTCAATGTCACAGTATTTGATTAAATAATTTTTATGAATATTCCAGTTCAAAAATAGTATCATGAAGATTTGATAGGAAAAAATATATATTTGCTAACTCTTTGGCATGATTGGAACTTTCTGATTCCTGAGGTAATCCTACCTCCATGAAGTATTTCTGTTTTTGCAGCTGGTAGCTCTGCTGTGGGTTGGACTGTGGAGAGCCATAATGCCATCTTGTGACCATAGATGAATATCGCATCTTGGTACACCAATAAAGCCTTGTTACTTTGTTGATTCATCCATTCATTTGTTCATTAAACATTTAGTGACCATCTAAATATTTTGCCAAGCTGTGAATATGTAATGTAATGAATAAGATTTAGTTTCTGCCCTTGCAGGGTTCACAGATAGCAAGAAATACACACATACTTAGATGTGCACACATGCACACACATAGCACAGTACTGCAACATTATAAGTATTACAGGATAGGCATACAAAGGACCATGGATGGCAACACATGAAAAGAAGTGGCGTACACTCCCTGGTAGCTTAAAGAAGGTGCCTGGGAGGAAATGACACCATCTGCATTTTTCCCTAATCAGCCAATATAAGAATACTTTAATATGGCAAGTCTGTGATGTTGCAAGGCACTCTTAACCTATCTGAATCCATAAACACATGACAGATAATGTGACTTTAGTGCTAGTAAAATTATTATTACCTATTATTTGTTCATGAATGATTGAGTCACTATTTAGACTATATGACTCTTCTTTTTATGAAAGGAGCAGGTTTAGCTTCTGAGAGAATAGGTTTTTTTAAAAAACAAATGGAAAATTGTATACTTCAGACTACCCGAATAGACTGCTGTTATGGTCTATGTCATTGGTGGTCTCTTTGTAAGAAAACCTAAGGAAAAAAAAAAAAAAAAGCTGTTCTTAAATACAGATAATTGCTACCAAAAAGAAGCAGCAATCATATGGAGGTTTCTGTATCCCATCTTTGCAAAATAACTACATTGAAAGAAAGATCTAGGACAGTTTTGCACACAGAGGACAAAACGTCTGTGTTGCCAAGAATTTCTTCTTGACTTGATAATGCTCTAATCGAATTAGGAAATTTAAGCTAGGGTTGCAAACTTACATTTCATGAGATTTGGGTGATTTCATATTAGGATTACACAATCCAGTTTTTGTGAGAAAGAAACAACTATTCACTCTATATTCTGCAAAATGTAATTATTTTAAGAAATTAGTCTCTAGGTTAATAATATTTACAGTTCTCACATCCGTGTTTTGGATTTTATGAGAAATTGGTGAGAAGAGAACATGTGGATGTAACAAGTGATCCCATTTTAAAAGTTTCAAGTTATTATATGATTACATTTTGCATACAAGCTTTTTAATTGATATTTTTATGCCAGCTTAATAATTTTTACAAATGTGTTTTTTATACTTCAAAAGATAAGTATGTCTTCCATAAAGTTTAAAAAAATGTTTTCCTAGATGTATTTGCTGGCACTTCAGTAGGTTATTTAGCAGTCTGCTTCTGATTTTATGAAACTCTGACCCACCCATTTATCCCACCAACATTTGTAAAATGGACTTAGTAACTATTGTTTGTTAGAAGGCTTAACTATTTTAAAACTCTTTCATTAAAATGTACTTTGAATTTCAGACTGCATGGGCTTTTCTGTACTATAAATCTTATGAGTAGGATAAGCTAACCTGAGGTGAACTGGAAGTTTACGCAGTGACTTCAATAATCTTATGGTATTTTGGATATAGGCAGGGATTGAGATATTTAAGATCATGGGAGTTGCCTAACTTCATTTTGTTAAAGTTATCAAAACCTTGTTGTGGAAGCCTAGATTTGCTAGTGATATGCACTTCAGTCTTCTCTGGAGCCCCAGAAGGAATTCAGGGATGAGAACTTGAACTAGGGAAGTAGTGGAACAGTCCACATTTGTTCCTCCTGTTTCCTTTTGAAGGTAGAAAATCTCTTAGGTCTTAAAGATATCAAGGCCTATAAAAAGTTCTCAACTTTCAGCCGAGTGAAGTATCCAGAATATCAGATCAATTCCAGATGGTCTCTTGCATTCAAATTAAAAAAATAAATAGGAAGGAACAAAGCTACAAACGGCAAAGACACCTGGGAATTATAATCTAGTACAATAAGAAGTAATGAACTAGAATGTACAGGCTAATGAGGAGTAAAATAAGAACTTTAACACTACTTTGTAAATTCTGGATATATGGATTAGTGGTTAGCCATCTTTAAATAAATTTGGAACTTTTTAAGATTACTGTGAAATCTCTGGGTCTGTCAGGGTGCCTGTGTAATCTATTGCTGGTTCTCAGTAGCAAAGTGAACACACAGAAATTTGGACATCTCTGTTCTGATAATGACAATGATGTTTAGAAAATTATGCAAATCCTTTGAGAAACAGGATTATCTGTTTGCATTAACAGAAAAGGTGTGTGATAATAGAGCACAAAGATGCCTGTAAAAGAATTACCAAAAACGTTTTATTTTAAAATTGCTATTTTTTCATATATCCACTATTGCCTTCGTAGATATCTGTCAATTCTCATGTTTTTCTGTTAGATAATATTTTAGGTTTGAAATGTCAAGTTGAATAATTTTCTTCTTGTATTTCATGAGAAGTATTTCTGAAATAACCAGCAATTCTTATTTTATGTATTAAAAATTTAGTATCTATATTTTTTGCAAGAGTATAAAACCCATAGGGAATATATTCTGTTTATATTGTCTATTATGTTCCCAAGTTTCTATCCTAAGGCCTGGCACCTGCTTTGCTCTAAATATCATGTGTCGAATTAATTAATTCAAGATTATTCTCACACTTAAGTATTTTTAAATTTATTAAAATTATTTCATTATTAAAAGTGAAAGTTGGATAAATCTGAATTTATACAATTAAGTAAATAAAAGACAATGTATACGAGGGGAAAGATAGCACAGTAGGTGAGGAAATTGTTTCCTTTTGTACATCCACTTCCAGAACAGTGCCTGACAAACAATAAGTCTTGATAAATATTTGCAGACTGACCCTGTGACCCTAATATTTGGTGACATAGGAGGTATGTATCAATGAAGATATATATTAAGAATATCATAGAAATAAGAATTTAATTGAATAGGAAAAGATGTGCAAAAGGGATGTAAATAAGTTTGATGATTAGGATATATTTGCTATGAGGTATATGGAAAAGATTCAATTCAGACTATGGCCTAGACCTTGATATTCTTCTTAAGTTAAAAACAAACCAACAAACAAACTTTTTAGACATTATAACTCTTGATTAAATTATAAATGACTTTATGATGTTTATAAAAAGCAACCTTAAGTTTAAATATATTAATGGCCTCTAAGATTAAATTTGAGCTTTATATATTGAATAATTTTGAATATCCATAATGTGTTATGCTGGAACTGAGCATTTAGTACATTTAATTTTTAATCATTTTGAATTACTTATACTGTTGTTTCAGTTTTAATGAACTATATGAATCTATGCATATATATATTTTTAATTTAGTGCCCCAATGCCATACCTGATTGGAATACACTCCAGCCTCATAGAGGTGAGTATCTTTCAGACATGAGATAGTGATAAAATTAACTCATAAAATAATAGTTAAAACAGTTTTGTTTTGAAGGAATATCAATGGAATAGGACAAAGAAGTGACTCGTTTCATATTTAGAGTATGCTTATCATTTTTAAAAAGAACATTGAAATAATTTCATTTAAATTAACATACTAAATGACCATTTTTTTTATGGCAAGAAATCCATAAAAATAGGTTATATTTGGTAGAAATCATATAAGTTTTAAATACTAAAACTTCAGTCCTTGATCAATTGCCTTTTTTTATGGCAACTTGAGATTATTTGTATCTCTTTTTCAGACCTATATTTAGAAAGTCAAAATTTATGTACTTATGAGTCATGAAGTAAATTTTTTTATTTTGCAGACTTCATTATGTTCCCATTTATCAGTATATATATTTTAAATGTGGTTTTAATATACTAATCATTAACTTTAGAATATAGCCTTAAGTTTTCATTTTCAGTTCTGTTTGGGAATATAAAATTTAGTATTTTTTTTCCACCATTACTGCATCATTTTAAAATTATTTTTGTCATTTAAGTTATTCCTATAGTGAAAGACCTTGAACTATTAACACCATGAACTTGAAATTAGTGAGATTCCCAGGAAGGTCTTGGTATGGGGTCAGCATCTTAACAAAATAAGCAAAAGGCTTGAATTAAAACAAAGGATTGGGTCAATTGAGTGGTGTCATTATGCTGGATGCTATCAGTTTTATTCAGATAAATTTATCTTTTTTTGCTGGTTGTACAGATTGTGCTTTAACCCAGTTTCTAATGAGCAACCTAAATGAGTTAGCTTTGGTTTTCCTCTTAGTTGCCATCACTGTATACACTCCATCAGTCCTTGCTTTGATCAAAGATGAGTCTGTTGATATATTTTAAAACTCCTGAGGATCATATTGGGAGAGAGTCATGCCCCTTTAGGAGGCGCAGGTTGTGGATTCCGACCTGTACGCTAGCTTTGGGCATTTTTTCTTATCACAAAATGCTAGGGCAACATTTTTTATTTGTTTCACCAATAACAAAAAAAATATTTAAATGAATATCTTGAGTAGGTTTGTTTGTAATATTGAAGTCTGAGTTGCATAACTTTATGACTCCTTATTTTTTATTCATTTCTAGAAAACTTATTCTTACATGCCAAGGTAGTTTCAGTGAAAGGATAAATTGCATAAAATGAAATATGAATGAGTAGGTACTTAATTTGTTACAAGATTATATGACTAGCATTTAGTTTATCAGTAATTTGACTTTATTTAAAATCTAACCTTGGTTGGATTGTTTTCTAAAAAGGGTCGTCAAATTTGATTTTTATATTAGTGTACTTGTCGCTTCTTAATGAATCTAATAGGATACATAATTTTTATAACATGTTTATTTATTATAGAGATGAAAAATATTTAAAGTTGTTGGTTACCTGTTGATGTTATAGGTTTTTTTGCATAATGATTCTACATCAAGTTTTAAAACAAATGATTCAGCTTTTCCAAAATACTGTATAAAAGGGTATATATTTTAAACATTCAATTAAATTTATCACATTTTCTTGGATACCTATAAAGAAAACCAATACTGTTTTTAAGTAGCAAATGTAAGAATTGTTTGCTCCTTAAAAAGTGTTGTCTTAGAGAATAATCCATTCTAACTTTAAATTGACTTGTATTATTAAATGAGAATATTTGAAGCCATGATTAGACTGGTTGAAATCTCTGTATTTTTCATACTCTGGACTTATCTAAGTGTCTTAATAGTCAGCCTTATTTTATTTAATTGGTTTATTAGTGAATGAGAAGCTATACTGGGCACTTCAGGAATGCTTTTAAAACAATTGGATACCATTCAGCAACTTTCTTGTTAATCTATTACAAGATGATGTCAATCCCGCAAATTTCATTCTTGTTATGGCACTATTAGGAAGATTTTTTTCACTAAAATTTCTACCTTTTATGCTTTTTAATTTTTACCAAAATGGTCTCGTAATTAAAATATTGATACAGCTATTTACATATTTAATATGTAAGACTGAACTGAGTAAATGTTTGCTTCTTGCTTGGCAATTACAACCAATTTTTCTTTAAGGAATAATTAAAATATTTTCTTATTCCCTTTCTCTTGGTCGAGAGAGTTTCAACACATTTTATTGTTTTTTTAGGTTGGTGCAAAATTAATTGCGGTTTTGCTGTTTTTTTTAAAATGGCAAAAACTGCAGTTAATTTTGCACCAACCTAATGTAACAACTTCTAAATGTATTTGTTCAAAGACATGAAATTAACATCCCTTAACATCTTTCTTTCAATTGTTTTAATGAAATTATGAGTAAAGGATGGCCAGAATCTTTTTAAAATACAAATTTCCTTCTAAAATAAAGGCTAAAGACACTTTGTTCTGCCTGAAAACTAGACTTTGGGGATGAACTCAAGGCAGACTAAGGCCTGCAGGTCATAAGGAATAAATTAGTAGAGGCTACAAATTTGAGGAATATCTTATTGTTTTAATGTACAACGGATTCTAAATAAAATGTTGACCCAGTTTTATAAAATCATGTGATTGCTGCCACTGTGTCATTTCTTTGTATTAATGTGCATAAGTATATTTGTAGCCATATTGTATGGAAAAGTTAAACATAGAGGGTGTGAGAAAGACTTCACTTCATACAGTTGTGCTTAACAAGCATTTCAGTCTATGTCTAATATTTTCTTATTTTTGAAGGAAATGACAATTTTTAAAATTTTCTTAATTTTGTATCTCATAACTTTATGAGATGTAACAGTGATACACAGAAAGAGGTACCATTTTATATACCACATGACTTCCCATGCCTATTTAGAAAAAAAAATAGTTGAAGTCTAATTTGGAGAGAAAAAATAGATAAAATATTGATACTAATCCAAATTAAAATAAATTTGTTACTCTCTATTTTTTCCTTTATTGCTAATGTATTGATAGAATTATTTTCATGTCAGGGAATCTCAGTTTATTAATTTGAAATGAATTTATTTTTCTATTCTTTTTTGAGTGGTCCCTTAAATAAAATTTAATATTTAGCAATTACCAGGTTTTTAAAACTAAGAGCAGTTTTGAAAAAAGTGTACATGTCATAGTAGTACCGATTTCCTTGTTCTGAGTTTAGTGATAATGTCCTCACAAAACACTTTGTGGGCACATAACCTTATCTTAGGCTATTTACAAACTAAGTCATTTTATCCCTTAACAAATATGTCAGGTTTATTGGATTATCTTTATAGTTTCTGTCATAAAATGACAACTTAAAGTTGAAGATGAAAATCAAAATTATGACATGTTTTTCACACAAATGTGATTAATATAATTTATATTTTTACTTATAAAATAGGTTATTGTAGTCATACTGTAGTTACTTTATAGGTTACTACACATATATGTACTTAAAGCTTTTTACATATTTATAAACATGTGAAAAGAAAAGGAAATGAGTGTATATGTAAATATTTTTGAAGTAGTGTCAATAGTATCACTGTAGGTGATTCTCTGCTAATATCTTAGAAGTGGCCATCTTTTAAGTCTTTATAATAAAGAAGACAGATTTTTAGAATCATCTGTCCTCATTGTAGACATTAAGCCTTTCTTAACATGTGGAAATTCTCTGCTTTAGACTACCATTGCTTTAGAAAGTTTAACATTCTAATATGCAGAGATTTGAAATTGTAAATGGATCAGAGAAATTTTAATTATGATCAATTTAAAATAACCAGTTTGGCTAATTTAAAATATAAGGTAATAAGGTTTTATGTGATAATTTTCAAAAATGACTATTATTGTAGACCACCACTTTAAAAATACTACACTAAAATTATTAACCTATTACTAGTTGACTTATACAATTATAACATTCAGAGTTCACGAATATATTTAATTAATGAGCACTTATCACTAAAGAATAATACTATTTGTTACAAATTAAATAAGACTAATAAAATTATATGAATTGTTTAAGTATACCTATTAGTTTAAGTAGGAAAAATGAACCATAAGTATTTTCTTTAAGGATGAAAATATGATAAAATTCTTATTTACTATTATTTGTAGACATATTGAGATAATTTGACTATTTTGATTAAACTTTCAAACAAATGAGACAAGTCAAGATAATCTGATAGGCTATTAAATTTGATACCTTCTATTGAAATTCATGTGAGAAATATTACTAACAATAAATTCCATATTACTATCCTGTTATTTTCTCTTATTCAGCTTTCAGTCCTCATCATCAACATACACGTTTTGGTATGGAATATAGATAAAAAATTTAAATTACAGTTTAATGCTGTAGTCATAGTTATTGGTTTATGTTATCCTTGCAATATGATTTATGCTAAACATAGGTATAGAGCTGGCCACAAATTCTTGTATCATGGGACTGAAATTAAGTGGAAAAATTTTAAAGTATATAATTTGTTTATGGTTTGATGTAACTGTGCCTATTTTATAAGAAGTTTTGTTGTTGTTATGTTTAATATAAGATGAGCAAATATTCAGTTTTAAGCATTTTTACTAAATCTTTTCGTATAGGTTGTAGTCAGACTTTCTCAGGAGGCAAAGTTGTTTCTATCCTTTTGTAATATAGGATTTTCCTTTTTTCTTTTCCCAAGCCTAATGCGTTAAGATAATATTTTCTGTTTCCAAGCTCATCATAACTTTGTAAAGTAAATATACTAAGATTTGTGTTCATAATTGTGTTTTTTTAATAGAGAGTGAAAAATAAATCATTGGAAGATGTTGTTATGTTAAATGTTGATACAAACACATTAGAATCACCATTTAGTGACTTGAACAACCTACCAAGTGATGTGGTAAGTATGAAGGCTATTCAGTGGTGAACATATATGTTTTCTCCTGGACCTCTGAATTACTAAGTTATTTTTCCCACTTTTAATATCTGAAATAAAAGGGTTGGGTATTTGCATGGGGTGTTAGAGAAATCAATGTTGATTCCATATTTAATATTTTTACCTTTTAGCAGTTGAGATTTTGAATGGAACATCATATTCCTTATTGTAAAAGTAGGATCATAATTAAAAAGCTGAATGCATTCATTAGGCAGAGTTTCTTTAAACCTAAGTCTCTTCATCTCATCTTAATCATTATATTACAAAGTAGGCATTTCTGTCTGCCTAGTGGCATGTCTTGCAAAAGAATGAGAGAGTTTTTGAAGGCAAGAAGAAGAAGGGGGCCAATTATCGGCTTTTGCTTCCCTGCCACCTGCCAGCGCTTTTCCTTTTAATTAATGATCTGATGTTACTGGTCAATATAATAAGAAATGCTTGTACAGTTGGGGTCAGAAAATTCTGGCTTTGATCTCCCTCAACTTTCTGAAACATTTATTTGTTTTCTCTAAATTATTTCAGTTTTATTTTAATCTTTTCTATCCTGCTGAGGGCCGCAAGAATGAAAACCTACACTGTTTGTCATTTGCTTTGGCAGAGCAAAGACTGCTTACTTAGAATTCTATTTGTAAATTAAACTGCAAACCCCGTTTGTCATAAAAGACATCTGATCCTTTTGAAATGACGAAAACTGTCTTTTGTCTGTAAAGGCTGATAAATTAAGTGCCAGTTCTCTTCTGGTCTTTGATCTTGCGGAGGGTTGTGTGTGTGTGAGTGTGTCTGCAGCTTATAATGGGACATATTCTGTATGTCATGTTAAATAGTCTCCAAAAGTGCATTATTTTTGGCCTTCATATTCCTTAGTATGGGACAAAGATGCAAACTAGTACTGTTTCTGTATATATTTTAATGACTACTTAAAAATATCTTTATAACATAGTTCTAAGTTAAAATAACTTCCTTTTAAAAAAATCAAAGCATTTATTCTTTATATGGATATTAAAATTTGGGAAAAAAATACCTTCAGAACATATTTTTCTGTAATATTGAACTACTTTGAAATCCATTATTAAGGAATTTGAGAAAGTGAATTTAAAAAATCCTAAACTCAAAAATACACTAATACCAGCCTTGGTTGTCCTTCTGTCTAATGATAGGAAAAATACGATTTTAAAGTCAAAATCAGATTATTTATGCCCATAATAACCTAAAATACTTGCTGACCTTGAGGCATATTAAAATTGAACTACCTTATCTTACTGTAGTAAAACTTTTGCTATGAATGTACAAATCTAAACCTAGGCCAGTGAACAATTACATCTTTTTAGCTTATTATAACTAGATTACCTCATTATAAAATTTTTGCCAAAACAAAATCACAAATAAATTATTAGAGTTATTCATTTAAAAATCATTCAAAGTGTTTTTCACTGTATAGAGAAATAATTATGAAAATAGAATCCTGACTTTTAGGAACGCTTTCCTTATGTGCATGTACTTCCTACCGTTAATATCCTAGGGAGAAAGATTGTTTGTTAAAAAGAGAAAGAAGACAAAAAGAGAAAGAAATTCAGCTTTCCTGTACATGATATTAAAATTTTTATAGGCAGCTTCAATCAATGACAGATGATTCTTGAGAAAAATAATCTTTGAAATTTTATTTTTTGATGGGTGATTCTTTTTTAAATTGAGAAGTACTACTTTCCTAGTAGAATTAGTTTGATGATTAAAACATTTATTTAAATATATGGAGAAGTTAAATATTCACACATGTAAAGGTCTAAATATATAAAATGACAGAAGGGACCATCTTGTTATTTACTCAGGAACAACAATGTAAACATAACTGAAATATTTAAAAATATAGATAAAAGTTATACTGAAAGGTGGTATAAATTGATTAAATAACTATATGCTTGAAATTCAGGGACACAGGCTTACAGAGAAATTTAAAGAATAGACAAAAATTGTTCTGAGATGGAGCTAGGACCATTTACTGAAAGTATGAGATGGTTTAAAGTTATAGTAATTTTCTAAAAATATTTTGGGTGATTTTTAGAACCCATTTCTAATAAATTTAGCTTTTTCATCTGTTTTCTATCTCTTATAATTTTGGAGGAAATAGGATGAAGCATCACATCATATTTTAGAAGCTGCCCTACCCCCACTAGACAGAACAGGACAATTGTAAATGTTTTAAATGAGATGTGTTAAAATTGCAAATGATCTTCCTAAAATTTTTTGTGTGTAATTTAAATTGATAAAATATACTTGAAACCTGAAAAATGTTACTATTAGTATTGTTTGATTGTTTAATAGGTTAACTGAGATTTAAATGGGGGGGTCCTTTTAAAATCATTCACCAAAGCATTTAAATTATACTTATGGGCTGGTTGACTTTCTATGCATGTGTACTCTATTATTGTGTCAGATTGACCAGTGGTCTTGGCTGTTCAAAGGTCAGTGGTCACAGTTGTCCTGAATTACTAGTTCTTTTTTCCTGTGGACCCTCTGCTGTGTTGCATGCTGTAATCTTCTTAATGGCTTCATTCCAATATTCACACATAATATTTTAGATTTATTGACTGTTAGAAATACTACCATGCCAGTAGCAGTTCCGCTACTCTTAAGGTATTTAAAATTGGAAAAATAAATCAGGGCAAAGCTTTCAGGATTCCTTTGTTTTCCTTAAGGGAGGGGGAAAACCTCTTTTCCTGTCTTCTGACAAGAACACTTGTTTTTTGATTTCATCATTTCACTATAGATTTGGATCATTAAAAGAAAAAAAACAAATATTTTATTGGGAGTGATTTTAACGATATTGATTATTACATGGAATAACTTTTAAAGGCAGTAGATCCAATAAAATATACTCTTGTAGTTTTTGTCTATGAATATATTGTGACTTTATTTTTTTAGTGGCTATGCCAAATAGACACCTTCAAACATCTGTAGTATAGTTTGAATGTTTTGAAATAAAAAAAGTAAATGTTAGGACTCAGTTACAGCGTCAATCAAAGTTAGTGTTATTGTGGTATGTTCATAAGGGTGAGAAAAAGAACCAATTGAATTAAAGATAACATTTGAAATCTCAAATGAGTTGATTTTAATTTATGAAAATGCAGTATTAAAACCTCCTATTCCAAATCTGCATACAATTTAGTTTTAATTGCATAATAATTTAAAATGTATTTCTGAGATATTCCTGCTCATTTTAATTTTTATCATCAACATTTTAAAAAGCAATTTGGAGGTTGTTACTATTTCAAATATAAATAGGATTACCCTCTTACCAGGAATTAAGCTAATAATTAGAATTATAAGATTTAGGAATTCTCTCCTCATATGAATATTAAATTAAACAATTATAAATTCCTATAGATGAAAGTACATTACAATTGACATCTGAAAAAGTTACATGTATTACAATATTCGTTACAACAGGCAAGTTTTTTGACCTGTATTGCTTAACTGTCTCTAATAATTTAAACTCGTTAGATTGTAAGAATAGTAATAATATTGATAGGTCAATATGCTATTCCTATTTTAGATAAGAAAATCAAGGCACAGAAAGTATACTGTTAATGGTACATCTAGAGATTCAGTTCATAGAGGTTGATCCTCAGGCCTGTGTCTGAAACAGTAGACCATGGTCCCTTTCATATAAATGTGATATACAATGTAATGAATAACTCCTTTAAAATATATTATAGAAGTTTACTTGCCACTTAAACTTGTTAAAGAAATATTAGTTTGATCCATTTGATTTAAATTAGGATTTTCAGCACTATTTTTAAAACTTCATTTTCGTCTTAAATATAATACTATTGGAAAATAATTTTGTGTTTTCTACTATGAGGGTATATAGAAAATATGGTACACTTAAGAGTTACTGTACAAGTCACTGTAGACCACTGTATGTTACAGGATAGCTATATTTTGTATGTAGCATATTTCATTACTAAAACATTGAAAAGACTTTATTATAATGATGCTATCTAAAATATCTGTATATTATAGTGAAGCTTTCAGGAATCATAAGAAGGAGTGCCTTAAATGGTTTTTTTGTGATAAAAAAAAGAAAGACACGAATTGCTCTGAATCACCAAAAATCATTAAGAGTATATAAGAACTGGAGAAAGTCTCTAAATCTCTGATATCAAATATTTGAATATCTACATTCAAGTGAATTTATTAATTTGGGGATAAGCTTGAAAGAATTAGTTTTTTTCAGATAATTCTAAAATAAACTTTTTAAAAAATATTAAGTTATATAAGCAAATTAAACTCTTAGAACCACACGGACTGTCAATGGATATGTTTAATTCATTGAATATTTCCTGTAATCTAACATGAAGGTTTAACATGTTAAATTGTCATAATATATGTTATAAAGAAAAATAGGCCCCAGAGAATATTATATTAGTTCCAGGTTTGCCACAGTTCTGCTGTTATCCTTATTGTGTTTAATGGTAAATGAAGTCCCTAACAAATTTCTAGGGTGGTCAGGTTAGAAAGATTCATTCAGCTTCTAGAGTAATTTGGAGAACATTTTATTACTTCAGGAGACAAATATTGCTTTTAGTTTGCCCTTGGAAAAGTATAGTCATGCTTTTTCTCCTCTCAATCTCCAATTGGTAGAATTCAGGCATCTAGTTGTACCTTGCTCCCGCCACACAGCCTTGGTACAGTGCTTCATAAATAGGCGTTCAATACGTGATTGCTGAAAGGAAATATAATTGCACTTCTTTTATCTTTAGTAATAGAAGCTTGCTTTTAAAGTCTGTTTACAGTTACCTCCTAGAACATTTTATAAGGATGTTTCCATTTGACTTTAATAATAATGAAAATGAGAAACCTGGATGCATATATAAAATATACTTTTTTGACTATGAATATAACCTTTTATTTCCTGTGTTTAGAAAAAGAGACCATGTTGTGATGGCAGTCATTGTGCTTCTGCATAC